AATTGAACATCGAGTTACAATTTGGGCGTGGTTTCTCAAAAGTGGGCGTGGTTTTATAATATGGGCGTGGTCATTTGTGTAAATCGAGGTTTTCGTAACTCGATGCTCGTAACTTTAACAATTCAACATCTCTTGTGTAGAACAGGTTAGATCAGAAGCTGATAGTATATAGTAGATAATATTTGGTAATCGTTGTCCTAAGTGAAAAAAATGCTAGAAGTTTCGAGAAATGGCTATATATCGATAACGTCGATAGAATGTCAATGTCAACCTCGAAGACAAACGCGCACGTTTTTGTTTTCAGTGTTACGCGCATTGCGTCACGGGAAAATGTTCACATCGTGCAAGAGGAAGTTGCATGACACGATTGGTTGAAATAATCGTCTCATTTGCATAATTGAATATTCATACGAACTAAAAAAACACTTTTTTTCAGTAAAATTGTGCCAAAAATGCTTTCTGATAGCATAAACGATAGTTCTAAATTGACTGATTCTATCGTTACGAGCTGAAAAAATAATCGAAAAACTGGTGTAAAGGTGGAGGAGACACGTATTTTATCAGGCTCCAGCAAACTGTTGAAAGTAGTCACAGGTTTTTTTTTTTTTTTTTTTTGACGTAATCATAGAAAGTTGCGAACTTCATGAAGAATGCAGAATCACTTTGACAATTCACTCTAGTACTATTGCTCAATTTTTTTCCAATAACTCATTTTATAAGTCACAAGTATGAATTTCGAGAAATCACTGTGTGTGCATGCGCAGTTTGAAATGGAACAATTATGAACGCAATAATATCACGCATACACAGTCAGCTGGCGCACACGTGATAATAAAATACTAGTAAATACGTTATTTACTATATGGGGGCAAGTTGTGAAACAAGAGACAAGTTGTGAAACGCGTTTTTCAGATTCCTACAAAATTGGACAAAAATGCCAATCTTTCACAGAAATACGATCCGTCGTGGTAATATTAGGCCAACCGATAACAAAATTCGACCGAATTCGGCATTTTTGTGTGGAAAATCCCTCAAATACGAACACCTAATTACACTAAGAACATAAAACACTTTCCCGGGGGTACTAAAACCGAAATTGTCATCTAACTGTGAGCTCGTTGCTGATTGGCTGCTGAGATGGAATGACAATTTTTGGTTTCAAATACCCCAGGAAAGTGTTCTAGATGTTAAACCTCGATCTACACAAATGACCACGCCAATATTATAAAACTACGCCCACTTTTCGAAACCACGCCCAAATTGTAACTCGATGTGAACATTAACAGTCCTGATTTGTAGGAATGTGAAAAACGCGTTTCACAATTTGTCTCTTATTCTTATTGCTGCATTCAAGATGGCGGCCCCCTTATAGTGAATATCG